TGGTCCCTTGGAAGGCTCCGTCCGGAGATATTCAAACGCGGCCGGACGACCGCTATGTTCCCTTGGCCTATCCAGTGAGCCAAATTTTTGAGGCCATCAAGGATAAGGGCCTCCTGATGGAACCCCAAGATATGAAGAAGCATATGGGGCTCGACCAATCTGCCTACTGCGAGTACCATCAGAGGGCCGGCCACCTGACGGACAATTGCAACCAACTAAAGAAGGCAATCGACGAGCTGATCCGTCAGGGGTACTTGGGCGAGTTCACCCAGCTGCTGAACAAAAGCAGCCAGCAGAAACCGAATCCCCGGCCCCGGACATGGCGCCGCGACGACCGGCGCGAGGCAGAACCTCAGGACGTGGATTATCGAAGTGCAGATAAATGTCCGGAGGGGTCCCTCGGCCCGAAGGGCAAAAAGAAGAAGCTGGAGATCAAGGTGATCTTCGGGGGTGCTGAGACAGGGGATACACCCGCCGAACGTAAAAAATTCGAGAGGTCACTCTACGTGGGTTCCGTATCAGCACCCCCCACCAAGCGCAACAAGATCGAGGCAATCACTTTTGGACCCACCGATCTGCCGATGTCACCAGCGCCGCACAGGGACGAGCTGGTGATCAGCATGGACGTGAACGATGCCATCGTCCGCCGCGTCCTCGTTGATACGGGGAGCAGTGTGAACGTCCTTTACTGGGAGGCTTTCGAGGGAATGAAGCTCAAGGGGGACATGCTGCACCCTCTGCGCACCCCGCTGTCCGGCTTCACCGGGGATTGCATTGACGCTGAGGGCACCATCACCTTGCCAGTAGAAATCGGCGACGGCCCTCACACCGCCCGGATCGGAATGACGTTCGTCGTGGTCCGCCTGAAGTGCGCCCACAACGCCATTTTGGGCCGGCCCGGTCTGGAGGACCTGGGGGCCATATGCTCCGTACGGCACTCATGCATCAAATTCCCCACCGACACCGGAGTGGGGGTAGCACGTACGGACCCACATATGGCCAGGGCCTGTTACACTAAGACCATGGAGAAGCTCAACGAGCGAGAAGCTCGGGTCAACAGCATCTCCGAGAAGGCCAAACAGGCCGACTTGGACGCCCATCTGGAACCAGCTACCTTGCTGGAGGAAATCGAGCTCGACGACCCGACGGACAGGAAGGTGTCCATCGGTGCAGACCTAGAGCCGGAGATCAGAGCGAGGGTCATAGCCGTCCTCCGAAGGTTCAGAATCCTGTTCGCCAGAGGGCCGAAGGACATGCCGGGCATCGACCCCAACCTCATATGCCATAAACTCGCCGTGCGGCCGGATGCCAAGCCTATACAACAGAAGAAAAGATATATGGCGGCCGACCGACGCGATTTCATCCGGAAGGAGACAGCAACTCTCCTCAGCATCAAACATATCCGGCCGGTCATCCACGTGGAGTGGTTGGCCAACGTGGTACTAGCCCCAAAGGGCGACACTTGGCGGATGTGCGTCGATTACTCAGACCTCAACAAAGCTTGTCCGATGGACCCTTACCCTGTCCCGAGGATCGACTTGCTGGTGGATGAGACAGCAGGCTGCGAGCTGCTCAGCTTCATGGACGCATTCAGAGGCTACCATCAGGTGTTCATGCACCCCGATGATGCCGAAAAAAACGGCGTTCGTCACGGCGGACGGCGTGTATTGCTATATCGTCATGCCGTTCGGCCTGAGGAACGCCATGGCTACTTTTCAGAGGATGATTGGGATGTTGTTCAAGGACGTACTTGGGAAAACAATGGAAGCTTACGTGGATGACATCCTGATCAAGAGTAAGAAAAAGGAGGACCATGTCCAGGACATGGAGAGGGTCTTCAGCATCATGGAGAGGGCAAGCATGAGGCTCAATCCAAAAAAGTGTGCCTTCGCCGTCAGGGGCGGCAAGTTCCTCGGCTACATGATGAGCGAATGGGGGATCGAGCCTAACCCGGAGAAGGTGAAGGCAATTATGGACATGGAGGCCCCAAAGAACCTAAAAGACGTGCAGCGACTCACCGGGCGTCTGGCAGCCCTGAGCAGATTCTTATCCAAGCTGGCTGATAAGGCGATTCCCTTTTTCCAGATCATGAAGAAGGCCAATCCCTTTGAATGGACCCCGGAGTGTCAGGCTGCTTTCGAGGATTTCAAGGTATATCTCTCCTCTCCGCTCGTCCTCACCAAGGCGGATCCCGGGGAGAGGTTGTACATATATTTGGCAGTAGCCGATTTGGCCGTGAGCGCCGTGCTGATAAAGGAGTCAGAAGGCGTTCAGCGGCCAATATACTTTGTGAGTAAGGCGCTGAACGGCCCCGAGACGAGATACACACTGATGGAGAAGACGATCCTCGCCTTGATTGCATCCATCAAGCGTCTGGCGCCGTATTTCCAAGCACACCCGGTGACCGTCTACACGACGCAGCCCCTCGCCACAGTCCTCAGGAATCCAATGGCAAGCGGAAGGATAACCAAGTGGTCCTTGATGATCGGCCAGTACGACGTGGACTTCAGGCCAAGGCCGACGATCAAAGGACAGGCACTGCGGACTTCATTGCGGAATGCACCGCGCGCACCGAGAACGAATCCCATGACAGCAACAACTTTGACAGTTGGTGGGAGATGTACACCAATGGGGCCTCGAGTGCGCGGGGCTGTGGCGGAGGAGTGGTGATCACTTCCCCCGAGGGTTTCAAGGCCTACTACTCTATGAAATTTGAGTTCAAGGTCACCAACAACGAGGCTGAGTACGAGGCGCTTATCGCGGGGCTGAAATGCGCGAAAGCCCTTGGAGCAGCTCGTCTGAAGGTGAGGATGGACAGCCAGCTGGTGGTAACCCAGATGAACGGCACTGCAGAAACCAGGGAAGAGAGAATGAAGGTTTACAAGGAGCTGGCGGAGGAGCAGACCGCGCAATTTGAGCAGGTGATCCTTGAGCAGATATCACGGGTGGAAAATGCAGAGGCGGACATACTATCAAAGCTAAGCAACCCCCCAACCGACGATCCGACGTCAAGCATCCCCCGCCACATCAGAGGCTTCGTCAGGCAGGAAGTGCTCCCAGCACCGGCGACGGACGTCATCCAGGTGGAGGTTATCTCCATCGCCGAACCCAACTGGGCAAAGGAGATAGCAGATTACCTCAGAGACGGAACACTCCCCGAGCCCGACGAGGATGGCAGCACAGGAAGAGCTGCATGGATAAAGAGGCGTGCCCCTAATTTTGAACTTATTGACGGGCAACTCGAGGGCCCTGAAAAGCTCCAAGTGGAAGCTATGTAGGGGAAAGTTCAGCCCGGCTATCACCGAATCCAAGTGGACCACCACATAGCCGGGCAGATGGCGCATGGGGTTGCGCAGACGCCGATCGTCGTAGGTCCTTGGAGGATAGAACCATTGGCTGATCAGACGCTTGTCCGCATTCGTCAGGCGTTGAGCTTGACGACGAACGCACGAGAAGCTGAGACTGTAACGGGGGGGCCAAGGCGGCATCCCCGCTCATAATATTCCAAGTCATCGCCGGAAGAACAGCCATCATCAAAGCGATTTTCGGAAGACATGGCACTGAACGGTACCTTGAGAGTTCGGGTGTCCGAAACGGTTTGAGAGAAATCTAGAGAGAGAAGGCAATTGTGCAGTGTAAGGAGAAGTATGAATGAATTACATGGGTTCTGGGTACTTATAGGCGGCACCGCGGAATCGCGCCAACCGAGGCAGGACACGTGGCGCCTGGATACCGGTACCTACCACGGTATTTAAAGCGTCTCGATTTCGTCGCCGCATGACCACAACAAAGATATCCGGTTGATGCCACGAACGTCCCCCCAGGGGGGCTTACCGGCTCAGAGGGGTCCGGAGACGCCCGGAGATCACGACCATCGGCTGTCCCTAATATTGGCGGCTAGTGGGGGACATACGCATCAACGGACTACGTTCGTCTTTCCATACTTCATGCCATTGGAACATGTAGAACAGACGAACGTCCCCATACGTAGCTTGAGTATTCACGTCACGCAACGACAGACGGACGTCGTTACCGAACGCTGATTCTGGGAAGTACGTTCATATGCCCACACTTGAGAAGTACACGTTCATAAACCACTGACGAACGTCGTTTCGTTACCAGAATACCTTGTGGACGGCAAGCCGGCATCAGAGCCTAGCATCGACACCCGAAGGCGGGCTTTAGCAGTTCCTCCGCACACTTGAGCACGTACGGAGGTTTGGCAAGGGGACGCCGTCGCCCTAAGCAAATAAGGAACAAACACGAACGTCCTCTCGGACTCTAACCCTGTTACAAGGTGTATCGAGGCGCCGAAGGAGTTTCCATACAACAGACGATAAAGGAAACAAAAGTACAAATATGAAGTAAAGATCATGAACGTAGAGGCAATTTGGGCAAAAAAGGCGTATATTGTTCGGCTCTAACGGCCGGGCATTACAAACGCAAAATGAAAAGAGTACAATTTACATTTACACCATGAAAGGGGACTCAGGCCGGCTGCCTCCCGGGATCTGCTCCTCCTCCTCGGCTTCGGGCTCGGGGGTCGGAGGTTCCGGAATTTCCCCTCTAGCTTTGGCCTCCTCCCGCCGTTGGTCCCTCCCCAACTTCCCCAAGGCTTGAAGCAGCAGATCGTCGTATGTATTTGCAGCAAGCTCGAAGTCGGCCCCCTGTAGCCTCGAGAAAATGGGAAAGGTTGCTTTGACCCCCTCATTGTAGCCAGCGGCGAAGGTGCTGTCGCCGACCTCGTAGAGGAACTTGTGAGACAAGGGGGAGCTCTCCAGGATCCGGACGCAGCACGCCAGGCGCTGCCGGGGCGGGATCTTCGCCAGCGCCGCGGAGAACACATCGCCGAAGGCCCCAGCGCAGTAGTCCTTGGCGGAGTCCATAAACTCCCCAGTGTTCCTGTAGCCGGAGGTGTCGACTAGCCACTCCGGGGTGGCATCCTTGGCAGTAGGGAGCACCGGAACAAGCTTAAAGCCGGCTCTCTCAAGACCGGCTAACTGGCTGCGAGATTCAGCCTGCAGGGCTGTAATCTCCCTTCCTTTGGCCGCTGCCTCCGCCTCAGCTCGACGAGCGGCCTCCCGGGCCGTAGCAACGGCCGCATCGGCCTTAGCTTTGACCTCCCTCAGGTCAGCCTCCCTGGCGGCTTCAGCTTGAAGGACTAGAAGCCCAGACCGGATAACAGAAGGAAAAAATAAAGACAATAATTAGAAGATGGACGTCAAGGGAAAGAAGTATTCGGATCTGGTAAAGAAGGGATACCTGAAGAGCGGCGGCCAGGGCAGCGCTGGTCGCCTCAGACGACGAACGGCGGGGCAGCTCGAGACCGGCCTTGAGGGCCATCTCCCTCCAAAGCTCCTCCGCCGGGCGGCTCAAAGGCAGGGAGCCGGCATTTTCAAGCAGGGGGGGAGTGGAGCTTGCCTCGCGGCCTCTCTTCTGTTTCTTCTCGGGGGCCTTCTCTGTCCCCTTCTGAGGAGCCGCCTTCGTGGGGACGACCGGCGGTGGAAGGGCGGCTTCGAGAGCAGGGGCCCCAGAACCCTGAGCCAGCATAGTGGCAATTAAGTGCTGCTCACCCTCAGCCGTTCGTCGGGCAGCATCAGAAGCCGAGGAATTGGAGTCCGAGTTGGGGGCGTTCTTGGCTTTCGCCAGCGCAGCTTTGGCAGCGGCCGCCTTGGCCTTCCTTGTCTTCAGACACTCGGCGTGATTCATTTGAGCTCTGTCTGGCGGAGAACCTGCAGGAAAACCATAAGGGGTTAAAAGACGAACAGAGAATGTAAAAGGACACTCACCTCGAAGGACAGGACCGCCCGGTGCCCCGAGACGAGCGTCGAAGGGTGGAAAGAGTCCAAGGACACGGGCGGTACCTATGCCTGCCCCCGAGAGTGCCTCGAAGGTTAGATAGCCGGCTATGGGGCGAATGCCGCCCCGCAGGATTCCCTCCACGGCCTCGCTCAGATCATCGGTCAACTCCGGCGACTCTATCTTTGGGGGATAGCCATTCCAACGAACTGGGAGGGGAGGACCGTCATAACGGAGGAAGAAGAATCGGTTTTTCCAATCATGAATGGAGGAGGGGTAGCTCTTAAACAGCCTCCTCCCCGGACGAGCAGCCACGCTCAGATAACCGTCGGAGTTTTGAGGGGTGATCCGGAAGAAGTAGTGGAACAGATCCAAGGTGGCGTCGACTCCGGCAAGCTTGCAGCGCACCAAGAAGGCCGAGATGAACCTGTAAGAGTTTGGCATGAATTGCGCCGGGGCCACCTGGAAGCAGTGGAAGAACTCCACGTAAAACGCATGAAGTGGAAACCGCAGCCCGGCTTCCACGGAGTCCAGGTGGAGCATGATCATCCCCGGACGTCTCCTCATCACGTGCTCGGCGCCCCTCACGCTCCAGACGAACGGCAGGGGGAAGAAGGTGCGGATTTTGTTAAGAGCCACGCGGGAGAGGACTTGATCATGGTCAAGGGCGCTTCTGATCGGACAAATGTGGCGCTCCATATCCGTAGGGATGCCCAGATCATGCACCTCCATATCAGAACCTGATTCGGCCTCTTCTCCAGAATCATAATCGGCGGGGCGCTCATTCAGGGGGACTGCATCAATAACGTCTACTGCCCCATCGGCGTTCCCGTCTCCGGCGTCACTCCCACTACCTTGGGAAGCGTCATCCGGCTCACCATCAGCCCGGATGGTCCCCACCGTTGTGGCCGAACCAGAGGTCCCAGAAACACTGGCCTTTCCCGGGGAGCGCGCATTCACATCGTCAGAAGAGAAGCCCGAAGAGGAACCCGACGAACCGGAATCGGAACTTGACGAGATCTCCATCGAAGTCATTTCGGCGAGAAATCAAGACGGGAAAAGAAGCAGAAGGGAAATTACCTTACGAAGAGACCAGCTGAACTCAGAAGCCAAGCAGAGAACTCGAAGAACAACGGAGATTTCAAGACAAGGGAGCAGAAATTGGGAACCCTAATTCAGGGGGAAAACCCGGCATTTATAGGGGGAGCACCGGTTAAGGGGCCAACAAGGGGTTGACACGTAGCAAGGAGCGTGGTCCGGCTCACGCGCCGTGCGTGGGATGGAAGCGTAATGATGACACTTCCTCGGGAAAATGCACCGCCGCTACAGCAGCCGTCACCTCGTTTCCTGAACCGTCGACAGCTGTCAAGTACCATGACCACGAGCGTACGCTTCCACCGGATGCAGTAAGCGCAAGTATCAAGTCACGAACGTCTACATCAAGGGAGTTCATACTTCCTTATGTCATGCGCATGCTCAGAACATCAGAAGTGGGGGACTTGTGTTGGGTTAAGGGCCCAAGCCGGGGTCCGGCCCACTAACCCCCTCTTATCAGACGCACGTCCAGTTAGAACACAAGGCCAGCCCACAGGCCCATGTTCCTTGATGATGGACGAACGTCTGGGGTTGGGAGTTCAGGCCCAGCGGCTCATCCCGACGAACGTCTATGCAGGAACAAGGAGCAGGGACACGGGCCGCCAGGGATGACGACGAACGTCCCCATGGCAAGCCTATAGTCATCGGAGGAAACCCAGTCCACATGGTGAGTATCTGTTAAGGCCAGGAGACGAACAGCCGGTATCTCTTGAAGGTCACTTGGAGCGATCCAACTCACTTCCCGGGCGGACGAACGTCCCCACGGATTAGGCGGGAAACCTAGATTCTGGCGGGAAGTGCATTTAATGCTGAAGATTTGGTAGTTGGGGCACCAGCGGTCCACAGGCTGCCACGCCAGTACAGCCACCTGCCCATTGGTGGGTATAAATAGAAGCATTTATTTCATTGTAAAGGGTTGGCAACTTTCTATTCTTAGCACTCTAGCTATAGCAGTCTTACTCGCAGCACTTCTACTGCCTTGTAAGACGAACGGCCGACGGAGCCTTAGCGAAGAGTATTGTATTAGGGAGTTATTAAGAGATAATAATACCTAATCAATTACTTGCTACTTCTTGTTCTCTTTAATCCATATCATCTGCTTGTTGGGCTAGTTTACTCACACACACTCCATTCGAAATCTTTGGGCTTACGTGTTGGGCCCGAGGGTTGAAGGAATAAACCTCAACACTATGAATTTGAAATAGTTAAAATCTCCATCTCTTTATTTTTGTCAAATGTATAATTATCACCCGTATAATAGTGTCACTTTTATCATTCAAGCCAAAATCTAATTTGGGTCAACTTAATTATAAAAATGTTAATTTTCTAACATTTTACATTCGTAACATTTTAATTGTTTTTTTTTTTAATTTTTGAAGTGTCACATTCTATCCTCCTTAAAAAAAATGTTTCGTCCTCGAAGCATGAACTAATATCTACTATCTATAATATAAAATTACTAAGTGTTACAACTATTGGGGCGGTAGGGGTGTCTAGCGCCTAGGCACCGACTGAGAGGGCGACTAGACTGATTTTTGGACCGATTAGCCCGATTAGTCCTCTACAATTAGGGGCGCCCAGACACCGATTAACTCGATTTTTACAACAATGGCACTTTGGTCTATTTAAATCTAGAATGATCTATTATAGTTTGGTCTAGTCTGAGCTAATCTGATAGTCCGGTCTAGTCTGAGCTAGTTTGATATGATCTAGTCTATTTAATTAGAGTCTTATCTGGTCTAATCAGATCTGGTCCAGGACTGAAATCAGTCCGAGTAAAACACTACATCTTTCGATAATTTGGAAGGAAATTATTTTTTTTTAATTATATATGAATAAAAGTTATGGAGTAATTATTAAGAATTATAATATATAAATAATACTTCATTTAAAATAAAATTTCAGACCAGACCAGACCAGACTAGATCATACCGGAATAAACTAGCAAATTTCAGTCCAAATGAAAACATGCTTAGTGTAACACTCTAAAGGATGAGAGACGAGGTCAAAAGTTTGAAACTAATCTCAATGAAAGATGTTGCATTTAACATACTGATACTCCGTATGAAGTATCAATTATTTACCAGAAAATGAAATGTCTTTTACTTTGGGATAATTCAATAAGGACAATAAAATACCTGTTTTACTTTGAGAGAATATTAATTTAGTGCATGTTTGTATCTTCTTCGTTTGACATAATGGAATCGACAAAAGAATTGTTTGAGTGATTATGATATATATATATATATATATATATATATATATATATATATATATATATATATATATATATATATATATATATATATATATAGTGTTCTAAAACACCTCAAAAGGCGCCGTGTAGGCAGGAGTAAGCGTGAGGCGGCTGCTCAACGCCTCGCATACCTAGTATGCGTGGAAAAAGGCGCGCGACTTTAGCAGCCGTACAATTTGGGCCATCACAAGACTTTTGCTTGTCATAAAGCCGGCCCATTAATTCCTTGAGTTAGCATCCTGGGAGAACAAGACTAATTTATAGAAAATGCTAAGCAGGGATTCAAATTCCCACCGGTGTGGGACAAATGAATGGTAAAGAAAGACGCGAGAATTCAATACTACCTTTGTACGTAGTATAGCTCCCAACAAATTTTGAACATGGGTACCAATTAAACTTCCACATCCAGCAAGTCAACAAGTCATGATTTGTTATTGAATTTAACTTTCTTTGGTAATATACTACTTCGGTATTATCCTAAATAATAAGAATAATATTGTTATCATTAGAATTAGCAATAGTATTAGTGTTAAGGTTAGTTAGACTTAGAGTTAGTGTGAGGGTTAGTGTTAGTATTATTATTACCATTATAATATACGGAGCAATTATTATCACTATTAGTATTAGTACTAATAATAGTACCATTATGAGAGCCCGTTTGGTAACCATGTTTTTCGGCTTATCGGCCTATTTTTCACCAAACAAGTATCTTTTTTATTTTGTGTGCTGAATTGTGGAATATTAAAAAAAGCTAAGGTTGGAGTTATTTTTCTAACTGTATTGGCTAAAGTTACCGTAAAGATAATTTAGCTATTTTCATATATTTTTTCCTTATTTTATTAATAAAAAATATTTTAAATATAATTTTTTCATAAATCAGCAGAACCAGCCAATTCAGTCACTTTAGCCAAAACTTCATAAGTTTTCAAGAGAGTCAGCTAATTCACTTGGAAATGAGAAAAGTATAATGTTTTGTATATCAATTTTTAATATTAAATTTAAATATATAAAATAGCTCTTGGAAAACTAAAATAAAGGGGGAAAAAATTAAAACGCCTTTTCACGCTTAATTCCCGCCTAAGCCCGCCTAGGCTCCAAAGGCTTAAGGCTTCGACGTGCCGCCTCGACACGCCTTACGCCTTTTAGAACATTATATATATATATATTTCATGAAAGCCGTGGGAAAATGTATATATATATATATATATATATATATATATATATATATATATATTGAGAAGCTTTATATATACGGAAACATAATATTCAACCATAATTATATAACACAATTCTACTATAATTTAAAAACTCATTAAACCACTTAATAGAAAAGAAATAAAGCAATCAATAAATATAGCATATGCTACATACGTCCCATTAAGTTTGATATAGTTTGTATTGATTGATAAAGCAAAAATAAAATAAAAATAATTTACCACCAGAAATAAATAGTACCCATTTTGTTAGACGAGAATGATACTGGGAAATATCTAAATGAGAAAATATGAATGACAATCTTAATGGCACGGAAGGTGAGAGTATATGAACAC